AATGCTGAAGCAGACCTGAGGCCCACAGAAATAATAATATCACCAGTGTGGGTATTACTGGTGCCAAGTAGCAGCCACAGGTGACAGGACAGCCCAGGAGAGGTAGCAGGGAGGTGACCGGACTCGTAGCTTGGTGAGCAGCAGTGCTGACGGGGCTCCTGCAGAGCTCTGGCCCTTGCCAGGAACAGTGGCTATAGGGTATTGAAATCTGTGTGCCAGGCCCTTTACCTTGTGATATGACACTCTTAGTTACCCAAAGAGATTTTTTTCCTTTTCCCTGATATTTTCCCCCCTTTTATTAAGGTATAATTTAAATTCAGTAAAATTCACCCTTTTGAGGTGCACAGTTCAATGGGTTTTATCACACAGTCACCACCAGAATAAGATGTGGAACCTTTCCATCACCCCCCAAAGTTTCTGCAAATCCCTTCACAGTCAATCCCCTAACCCCTACCCTGAGCTCCTGGCAACCACTAATCTGATTTCTGTCTCTGTAGTTTGCCTGTTCTCTTGGAATCATAGCTAAGGGCCTAAAACTGAAAGCAAAAGACACTCAATACCCCACATTCTAAATTCAGAGGGCCAGCAACGAATAGGGCCAGCCACCAGCCCACAGACCTGGCTGTGGGAAAACCAGCTTTAGGCCCCAGGGCCCAGTTGTTAGAAGAGGTCTAGTTAGGGACTGTGCAATGTTTCCCTTCCCCAAGCCAAGACAGGGGAAGGTCTAAGAGGTCCACTCATAAAAACAAGGGTCATTGGAAGTCACCCACCATCTTACTAAGATGGAGATGGGTGTCTATCCTTCCTCTGAAAGCTGCAAAGCTCCCATGCTGGCACTGTGCCTGACGCTGCCCGGGCATACAGGAAGGGACTTTGGGAGAGATGGAGACCTGGGGTACTGCCAGGTGGAAAAGGCAGTACTGATTCTTGAGGAGTAAGATATATATGGCATTTGTCTGCAAGCCCAGGAATTGTCCCAAAATGATAGATAAGATTGGGGCCCATGGTCTTGCCAAAAACTACCATCTTATGGGGGGAAA